GTCCTTCAGCGACAGGCCCTGAATGTAAGCAGTGGCCCACTAACAGTTTAGAACGGCTGAGGTCTTGCACCTTTGCACCTCTTTGGTTCACCTTGGTGGTTTCCCAGTCAATCCTATCCTAAAAACCTGAGGACAAAAAACTAACTAATGATTCGAGCAGATCAGTCCCTAACATTAGGCTGAATTTTGGTTGAGCCTGTATTCACAAACCAGGAATCTTTCCTTTGAACTTTATTTCTTCTTCGGAAATAGTTCAAAGCATTTTGAGAACATGGAAGCCAAAATCAAGCCTGAAAAACACCACAGACTCACTTTAAAATACTCTTATTTTTCTCCTCAGATTTCTGCTGTTGCTTTCCGTAGTTTGTCAAGCAACCCCCCCTTCCTATTTAGCAAAGTATCTGCAGTTCTCTTTCATCACAAGTCTCAGAACTGAAGCACTCCAGCTGCTCTAGGGCTATACCCTTAGATGTGATCTTGCTGTGATGTTATACTTGCCTGTTGTTATGACCTTGGCTATTTTTGACAGAGAGATAAAGATGAAATAGGTTCTTGCTTTTAATGACAGTTTGTACAAAACATCCTTTCCAAAGAAAACTATGTTATCCATATGTGTACATTACTGATCAGCCTATGCCAGACAGCAATATTATAATCTCTCTCCCGCGGGTGACATAGCATGAAGAAAGATGATTTGGCATTATTATGCCAACATCTCTTTAATTACACTTTGGGCAAGTATTAAATTTTCTCCTGAAACTAATAGCAAAGCAAACATTTTCAAAACCACTTTATTTTTTCCTTACAACCTCTGTGTTTGTTTACTTCGAAATTTCTCAAACTGGCACACAGAGTTTTGGAAGGTTCTTGCTTTTAATTCAGGGCTTGTGCTCTGAACTTTCCTACCTGCTGTCCACTGTTTTGTGAATCCCTTTCTAAGCACAAAGATTTCTGTTAACTTCCCCACAATGAAAGACGCTCATGAGAGTAAAAATGGTCTTCAATAATACTGCCTGATGAGTTTTAGCATTTTGAAAGCAAGACCACCTTATTCCTTATAGGCCTGATGAATTCAATGAGAGGCTTGCTTAGATTTCACTGAGGTCTTTTTAGCTGTTCCTTCAAAACTGACTCAGCAACATCTTTAAACACCTGCATGACTTAAAGCAGATGAAAAGTCCTACTCGTGTGTCAAGTTAAGGATATGCTTAAGTGCTTTGCTGGATAGGGGCCTAACGGCTCGCAAATACAGATGGCTATTATCAAGACCCAGAAGAGGCCAGGGAACCACCAACAATCAATTATATTCCTACCAGAACTTCAAGCCGGTATATCATACTGTTTGAAGTTAATTGCTTTGAAATAATTGGACAGGTGAGCAGGTAAGTTCACACAGAGCATTTGCAATTTTCCTTTGTATTTAAAAAACCAACAGTGCAGATTGCACGGACAAAATGGGCATGATTTTAGTAAAACAAGTTAAAAGGGAAGGGAAAAGGTATGGGGTTTTTTTAAAGACTTTTCCTTTTAATTTTTAGCATCATTAAAACCTTGAAAACATTTTATTCAAGAGCTTCTTTAGTTAATACCTCATTACTTCTCTTTTTATTGTTATGGTAATCAAGCCTTAATATATTGCAGCTTTATAGCATGAAATCAAGGCTAGGCCTGCGGGCATCGACAGATGTACAACAGCATGCAGTAAAACACAGGTATAGAGGCATGCAGAGCTGAATATGGCACAGGGTTTTTTTATAATTGTTTAGCAATTCATCTGAAGTTATTTTAACCTTGACAACAGATGAACTCTAACATCTACCATGATTAGTCACTGGGAAGCCGCACCAAATAGCAACTTTTGTGACTGTTTTCTTACAGGCTGAGTTTTAGGAAAGGATGAAACAAGGTCTGAGAAAGATGATTAAATTGTTTGGATGACTACAGGCTGTAGCTGTAACTATTCAAAACGTTTAACTGAGTATATTCCAGCCAAGCAAGAATGGTAACACTGGGAAACTATGTTTAACACCAAAACCTTGCCTCTCCATAGGAAATCGTGCTCAGTGTCAGAATCCATACCCTCTCCTGGCATAGGCAGTCTTCGCGGCGCATCAGAAAAGAAAAACATTTGGATGTGACTTCTGATTTTGAAGTGACATTTGGACCTTGTGCTGGAGCTCTGCTTATGGTTTCATTTCACCTATCAAATTAAATGAAAGTTATATATAACTTTTAGAAAGTTGTAACAGTCTGGTCTGCAGGGTGTTGAAATACTGTCTCAAAAAGAGTGAGTGTCCCTAGATCTTCTCCAAGGAAACGACAACAGAGTACCCCCAGCGTCAGGTAGGCTCCGCTTCTCAACACTGTTTTCAGAAGAGATCATTCAGGAAACACTTACAGCTCCTGGGAGATTTTCTAAATTTAAAGGGAGTGTTTTGGCTAGTAATCCCTTTCCAGTAAAGTAGTTTCAAAGAGCCAACATTAAAAGCAGTATGCCTGTGACTCAATCAAATCACTGATACCCAGGTCCATGGAGGAAAGCTCAGTGGCCCCCCGGGGAGCGGGGTGGCACGCATACAGCCGGCAGCTTCAGCTTATCCAGAGCACAGCCCTACAGGGCCAGCCATTCAGAAATGTCCAACAAACGATATTTGTCATTGCAAACATGTAACCTTCATAGTAGCTACCCATTATTAATGAAGCAATAGGAAGAAAGTAGGCACAGGTAATACATTATTCCAGTAGAAGTGAAAAATGTTTTCCACATTATTACTGGATAACAGTCAGACATGACTCAATACGTGGATCACCAATGTATCCGCAAAACCCAGTTAACCTCAGTTAGGCAAAGGCTCCCAGCTTCTCTCTTCTCTCTTGGAAACACTCAGAGTAACAATGGTACTGTATTCAGCTGATAGCTGTTCCATACCTTTTCATTTAAACAAAGTCTCCTAACAATAAAGAGGCCAGTCACCCAAATTTCTGGTGTCAAGCATAAAGGTGAGCAGCTCTCTCAGCTGCAGTAAAAGCTAACTTCCGTAAGGCTGTTCACACTTACAAGCATTACATTGGACAGTGCTTGTTCAGATCAGACCTTAGGACAAGAATGCATGTTGCGCAGCGTATAAAAAATGGAGTGAAAGACAGTGGGCACTATAGTCCAGTGAACACACTAATTATATTAATAAAATGAAAGCTTAAATTTTGAAGCTAATCCTGGGCTATCATTTATAAAAGTTAACAGGGCATATTTAATTTAGGAATTGGCTAACGCTTCTCTTTCTACCGCTGAAACCTCATAAATGAAATATACTGGATTGCTGCCCAGTGCGGAAATAAAAGTTATGAATAATGTTTCTATCTCAATCATTGTCAGTGCTTTAATATTCCTAATTACTTTAAAAAGCTAAATATTCAATATAGGAAAAACCTTCTTTTTCTTTTTATCTTCACTTGCAAGATTAGTGCAATTTAATAAGAGTCACTGGGTAGTTTTAGTCCACAAGACCATTCTGTACTTTGACATCTTATTCTTTCCTCTTCATTATTACGAAGAATGGAGTGCTTGTTACTCTCTGTATGTGTGTGTGTATAAATGTACACATCTATTTGTGTATGTCCGTGTTATCATAGTATTTTTGTTTCTCTTTTTTTTAAACTTCTCTAAGTCTGCAAATACTCACTGACTGTTAGGTTGAACATATCTACTACTGAAAATAACCAAAGGATAAAATTAGTTCCTGAGATCCTAGACAATATTTTACAATTGAAGGTACTATCTTTCTTTTTCAAAATATTGTTATAGGTAGATATTCAGTATGTTATGCTGCTCAATTTTTCCCTTGTCTACCTGTCAGGTAATCCCAAAAGGTTGCTTCAAACCCCAAAGCATGGCCTTTCTTTCTGTCCTTCCTGCCTGCTCTCCCCCTATTGCCCTTTCTGCTGTAACTGAGGAGACACCAGCAAAGCTGCAGACAAAACACCAGTAACTTGACCAGAGAAGAGTCTGCCCCATTGACTTCAGCCTTTGGAGGTGTTCGTCCCCAGTCACATTTAACTCCTATTCTCTTCTAACGCCTCCCTTTATAGATCCCTTTTCTGTTATCTTTTTGCCTGGTAATGATGCCTCTTTTTTAAGATCCCAATCAATTTGGGAGAAAGGGAGGAAGTAAAAGCAAAATGAAACGTGCATTTGGTAAATGACTCACAGCATCTTTCTCGATGCGGCTTGCTTTACTTGCCTGACGCACAAATAGACTTCATTTAACAAGCTTATTTCCATTACGTCAATAATGTATTGGGCCTGTGTTACATAACGTCGCCGATGTTTGTACTGGGAAGGACGCTAGCCGTTTCATTCCAGCATCAACTAAGCACAAAGACTTAAAGTTACCATTACCGATTAAGAGAGTTTGACATGCACAGCTTCTCCAGCTGAAAGAATTGAAAGCCTCAAGTGTGAATTGATTTCCTAGTAAAAGGTGCAGAACTCCCACCTCTACCATTTCCCCAGCTTCTGCCGTATGGATAATTTAGGATGTGGATTTCAAGTCAGAAGGTAGAATCTGGGCTGCATGAAGAGTCAATGGCAAACTCCCGCTGGTTTCAACAGGACAAGGATTCTGTCTAGAGAGCGTGCTTTCCAAAGTTCTCCAAGTACTCCACAAAGTATTTAATGAAGAACGTGTTGTAGTAAAGATTTAAGAGAGAAAAATTTCACAATAGAGCTGTCTTATCTATATTGGTACCCCAATAACAGGACCGAAGGCATTAAGAGCATCCTCCACTGTATTTAACACTTCTTTGTAAAAACAAGCAAAAAAGGTGAAAGTCATTATCATAGGAAAGGGTATTATCACATAGTAAGTGATGCAAAATAACCAACTGACAATCTTCATTTTTGCACTTAAAGCATCCAGGTTCTAAGGCCACTTCTTTATTTAAGGCCTTTTTTTAATAGCAGCATATATCTTTATCACATTTTTGTAATCTTTACTCACCACTAGAGCAATCAGTACCTCCCCATCCTGGTTCACAATGACAAGTGTCAGGAGAAACACATCTTCCATGCACACACTCCTCTGTGCAGAGTGCTGTTAAAAAGAAACAATACACGGCATTGTAAACATATTAAGTGGTTGGTAAACATACAGTAAACTATGCCTTAGAGAGCAATATTTTGTTTAAAAATATTAAACAAAGCAAACACACAAAAAAGACTTACTTGCAAGATTTAATTAATACTAAGTGACCAAAATAAAATACAGGTCTCTTGACAGCGATAAACTCATTTGTCACTTCAGCTCTTTGTAATGAAAAACTTTAACACCAGAAATTACTTTGGTTAGCAGTTTTGCTTCTTAATAAAATTTTTACCAAACTGACACTTATTATTATTATATTACAGAAGACCAGCTTCTTCTATTGCACTCAAGTTGCTACTGTTCATCAGATAAAATGGAGCTTGGTTTTGAAAGTATATTAAGACACAAAATATATTTGTAAAAAATAGCTCAAGGAGAAGAAGTAATTTCACTACATGATGTAGTAGCTGTCACTGCAGCCTTGTCTTTTCAAGGTCATCAAGTTTTCCATAACTACAGTGTTCTAGATCTTATTTGTCCACTGTTGGATTATTGAAAGTTCGATATCCTCAAGGTTCAAACTATGATGAACGGGTTGGTTTTACGGTCCCACTTGCCCATTGACTAGAGATATACATGGGAGAACCTCCTTTTCTTCTCCCTGAGTAGGAACAGCTCATGGTTTTAAGAATTCTCTTCTCCTGTGCTGCTTTGGTGTCTGACTTACTTTCCAGTGTATGCCGGTATGCCCATCAGATACAAAAGAACTTGGACAATACCGAACAACTACTTTAAAGGCTGAACTTTACTGCTTACTACCTTATTTCCATTTTACCACTTAGGTCATTGCCAAAAACTCATTGTGTCAGGGATTCAAATTGGATGGTTAAGTTGGGACATATAATTTCCATCTAGACTAACATGCATGAGTTATTAACGAATATGATGTAGTGGCAATGAGGTCACTATACTAAAATATTATACATGATATATATGTATGATATATATCATATATAACCTATGTTTGTATATCCTGTGTTTTTATATCAGATGGGAAATGTGGGTATTGTGCTTACTTAACCAAGGACTGGCTGAAGCTGGACTACAAAAGACTTATTCCAAGACAAAGATTAATTAATTCCTGTCTAAAACAAGGCCAGCAAAGCTGATTTGGGAAGTAGCTTTGTGTTGCTGTACTGAAAACCAGGCTGAACTACCCAATTCATTTTAAATCAGCCAGCAAACCTTATTAAAGTTGCACCGGGCCTGCATAGGAAACACCTTTCAGTTCCGAGGTACCTCATGGGCCAAACATTCTCCACCAACATCTTGTACATTTGAACGATTCCTGCTATGGACTACCAGATTGGATCACATCTTGAATCTGCACTCAGGCTGGCATCAAAGTTGACGGAAACGTTTTGCGGTCTATTCTCTTGCAGACCTAACCCACTAAACTATTCACAAGATATTTAAATCCAACTTCAAATCAGAAGTGAACTTTGAATAATCCTATGGGACAAATCTTCCTGCTCTTTATCCATCAAATCACACGTGACCAGTGATTAGAATGTTGCCTCGTTATAACGACTACGAGATCCTTCTAGATTAGTAATTTCCTTTCTAGGTTCGCTATATGTCAAAAGTGCAATTTATTCTTATTTCATATCTTGTGTTTAGACAGTAGTGCAGGGCGCATGAAATATTGATCGCTAATTCTCTAGTCACTAATTGTCCTAATCATTTGTGCATTTATTTTACTTGAGTTAGGGTTTCTGAAGACAGTGAGGCATCCTAGTCTACAGCTGTAAGATGAAATTCAAGACAGGGTATTAGAAAACCAGGATTTTTCCATTAAAGAAATACACGCTTTCATGCAATCATTTAAAAATGGTTGATTATCTATGACAAGAAGTCCACATGCGGAACAGCCACAAACTTATAATTTGTTATTAGAAGTACAGTGTACTAAAAGATATACAATTTAGTGGGACAGGGATACTTTGAAAATTCTGCCCCATATAGCTTTATCTAAGAATACGATTCTCATTGATGTAACGTTTACACATTAGTTTTATAAGAGGTAGGGAAATTGAAACTGAGACTTTTCTGTTCCCTGTATGGACATTTACAATAATAAATCATTCTTACATGTAAAACATGCGACTTTTTTATCCTTTTAACTAGGCCAGGTCCTCAGGTCAAGGCATAATTTGTGAGCAAGAAGGTTGATGGTGGACTATTTCTTTGCTCTTCCAAATACAAAACTACTGATCATCACTGGTCTAAATTTAGTTGATTTAGCCACACAAACATACCACACCTTAATTATGTTAACAGAAATGTGAAATAATAATGACTAATTAAGCTAATAATGCTTCCTTAATCACTTGTCTATGGACAGAAGTGCAGAATTCTGTAGTAATATTGCTCCAGTCCCTTGGGAAGAGTGCTATGTGAGACTTGCAAGAAAGACTCAAGATACTATTCCTCATTCTAAAGCAATCAGTGATATGCAAAATATAAACAAGTACTATAGACAACTGCATCTTTGTTTTTAGGTGTTTTGAAGTCCCACATAGCTGAAGATGGCAATGTTTAATGAGCAATTAAAGAGTCAAGTAAGGTAAAGCCACTCGTTGGAACTGTGGGTTCTCTCATTTCTGGTTTATTAACTCGCTAAACAAGCAGCTATGAGCTCACTAGCATATAGTCTTTAAAGCTGTGAAACTACACAGGAGGAATCCCATATGTGGGGTCACAGAAATCCCCCTTTTTTTAAAAGGGGAAGCTTTGATACAAGAAATTTTATTCAAGGAGGCAAATAATCAGACTCCTGCACTGTCTGATTCGAATCAGGCCTATAAAGGTCCATATAAAGGTCATATTAGGGTACAACTCTAAAGTTTTACCATAGCAAATAAAATTTTGTATTTCCCCTATAAAAGGGAAGTCTTGCCTTGCTCTAATCTTTAGAGTTTAAATTAATTTTTCATTCTATTAACATTCAACATAACAGGATACAATGGTCCCCAAGGCATTCTTCACAATATACTTTGTACAGTGGATTGCAAATGATCTTACTAGTTAATGGAACTATAAAAATTACTTGCATAAAGGTCAAGAAAAATAAAGATAAGTACATACTTTCTGACACTGTCCTGTTCAACACTCAGCTAAAGGCCCCTGGAGTAAAGAAAACTTGTACTAACGCAAGGAATATAATTCCTCCCGGTATAATAGCCCAAGCAGTTCAACCTTTGGAAATCCAGACTTTTTATGTCTGCATTTTCCCTTGACCAATTCTCTTGAACAATCCAGCACCTCATTGATCAGTTTATTATTAGCATTCTTGGCATGAGTTTAAGATCAGTTTGTAGTTTGATTCAGCCTGGTAATAAAATGACCTACATCAAAGCCCTGCCAAAATGCCATCTTTGTAGCGATGCGGTTAGCATGAGTTATTTGGCCATATTCAAGGTCACACAGCAACTGCTCCTTATCATGGAATAAAGTCAACAAAAGGGTTCTGTAACAATTCATTTGATGCTTATCACTTACTTCGTAATTACAAACAGTGTCTTTTTTAACATATAAGGTCAATCCTCAGGGAAATAGACCTAAAGATTAAACTCTTTTCACACCTGAAACAACTGCATAGATTTCTCTAACACTAGCACTTATTTTTTAATTCTGGTCCTGAATTCGAGCTTGATATACTAAATGGGTTGCCTGTGTCTCCTATTTACAAAGGTATGAAATAGCCAGGATATTGTTACGGAGGAGTACACTGCTAAGTGGAGCAGACTCTTCTGCCTGGAGAATCCTTTCCTTGCAGAGTTACACCAAGTGAGAGGCACCACAGACAGTTTGTCCCAGCCAAAAGCAGCCACGCTCCAGGGATCCAGAGCTAGCCTGCCTTCCTTGGTGCTGCATTCCTCTGTATGGACCCAAACTATGACCTTGCAGGGTTTAGCCCTGCTGTACCACGCTGGTTTATATGCACTGTTATACCCTGCTCATCACTGCATGATCAAACCACTGACTACTTGTACTCCATTAAGCAATGTAACTAACACCTGCCATAACTGCTGCCTTAGCCTCCTCCTAGAGGTGAAAGCGCATTTAGAGAAGAGTTTCGTTCTAGGGGAAGAAGTATGGATTGATTTAGCTTGGGAAAGTTTTGTTAGCTTGTCCAAACATATAACTTGTATATTTATTTCACAAAAGGCAGAGTGAAAAAACCATGTCTTGTGCTTGTGATGGAATGTGGTAACATTTGCAGTGGTCCTTTGAACCTGGAGGAGTTCACAGCCACTGACCCAGCAAGTTCCATCTCCCTCCCGCTTCAGCTGGTGGGACTTTATTGTTCCAGACAAGCAAAATGTCTTCAAAACAAAGACCAGGATAATTACAAAGTCTAAAGGAACCCAGCGTAGAAAGCAGAAAACAGGCTTCATGAACTGCACTCATTCACAGCAGCGTGTGCTGCCAGAGACGTGCGGGAGTGTTCCGTACAAGCTAGAGTTTCCTAGGCTCAGCAGGCTTTCTGCCCAGGGACTGCAGTGCAGCCAGGGGGTGACGGAAAGCATGAATAACTGTAGATACATTATAATAATGGAAAACATTGCTAAATGAAGATACAGATGCTACCGTATGAGAGCACAGACCCAATAAGAAATTCAGGCACTCTCCTAGAACTACACAGAATGAACCAGTCTATTCTGACTGCACATGTGGCGAAAGGTTACTGCCCCACAACTGCAAGTTCTTCAAAATATTTTTCTTTTCTCTGCCCTACTGTAGGCAGTCTCTGCCAGTTTTTCTTCACTATACACTGATCTCACCCAAACTCTGACCAATTTTATTTGTTGTGAACCAAAAGTAGACCTGCATTTTTTCTGTATGTTGCTGGTATTTTAACTTCAGGTCATCTAATCAGTTTGCCCCATGCTTGATAGCTGTTGGAGTACACAAAGTCAAAATTTTATGGAAAAAGTGATGTTTTC